AATAAGGATGTACAAACTGATTGCAATTAGTGTCTAAACAAATATTTTCACAACAGAGCTTTCTATCTTTCTTCGGTACCCTGTGACAAGTACTTTGTAGGTAATCCTTAAGGAACAAAAACATGACCTTTGAAGTGGGACCACGAATCTCTAGATTTCAATGCACAATCTCATCTGAGGTCAAACTGAGCATATTATAAATTGATGATTGACCTGCATAAGTATAATGTCTTCAATATTATCCGATCCATACCTCAAAGTTGCCCAGTGGGCCGAAAAGAAAAAGGGGAATTCAGAAAGCTCTCCTTTAACGTACAGGATTTTACGTGTTAAATTGTGGGGAAAATCTGACTCCGTGTGGACTTCCATTGTACATGTCACTCTTCTTCTGTAGGCGCAGCTCAAATGGCGTCAGGAGTTCCAGGAGCCGAAATAGCGTGGGGGCATGGATCCGATATTGACTCATACTGAGTGGAAGAAATCAGCACCAAAGTCTGGATGAGATCATTTGGTTGTGAGTGTTAGGGAAGTGACTGCTAATCACAGAGGAAAAGGGCAACCAATGTGTAAGTTTTATCTTACTGACTACCTATTCAGTTAAGATAGGTAGCATGAGATACACTTGAAATCTTGCTGATGGCTAAAGCATAACCATAGCCAGTTTTCAGAAAGAAGTCTAGCTGAAAAGAAAAAAGAAAGTTTTCAGCCCCCCACCTTTTAGTAATATTATTACACCTTGGCTCCTAGTGGCTTTGTAAAACTTTTAAAGGATATCTTGGTGGTGAATATTTCGGCAGTATCATTATGGGTAGAACCAGCAAAGTGTGAAACCTCTAGTTTGCATGTGTAACATGAGGTGTTTTACAGGCAGAAAAGAGAGAGAAATTTCTTTGTTTGCAAGTTGACAAGACAGGAAAAGATCACAAGGATATACCATTGTACTGACAACATTCTGAACTAAAGAATCGTATGTTCAAAAATGAAAACCTGACAGCAGATCTAGCCTGGGATGCAAGATTAGCTACATAATTTCAGGAACCAGTGCAACTGTGGGCTCTGTTAAAAAAAAATGATTAGGAATTCCAAGATGGTGACAATAGAGCATTAAATCAAATATGGTTTTTTTCCAAGTTCAGGGTCCTGACAGACTGTATAGTTTGCAAGCCCATGATGTTGTCTGCTGGGATGGTGACCCAAGAATTTCAAAACTTTATTCTTAGTCTTACTATTTTTTCAAAGAACTGAAGTGTGTCTACTGTCTCACAAATTCTGAGGGGAGAAATCCTAGAAAAAAGCTTAAATTTAATTATTTGAACTCAGGTATCTAGCATAACTAGAGGCACATTCAATAACTTATTGGATATGAATTTAAACACATCACTTTGTTTCTCTGGGTCTTGATTTATAGATCTAAAACATGTACAGATAGACAGTCTCAATAATTCCATAATTTTGTGCTTAGTATTACCACCAAGAATCATTAGAGTTTGATTTTAGCCATGTAGTTACCATCTCTAAGCATTTGGTCATATCATAAACATATTCTCAATATATATTTATAATTTTGAATAGGCATTCTCAATTTACAAATGCTAGGGCTGCATATAATTCTCTATTATAGATCCCACTATTCTTTACTCCTCTCTCCCAACACTACATTACAGTGGATGAATCAAGAAATAGATAGAATTATTTTTTATCCCTTTCAGAAAGTTTGGAATATTCTTTCCGTAACTCAGCATTTTCTAATTGATTACCTGGAAGGTACTTAGTGCCTACAGTGTGTCTCAAGGCTTAGACTCACATCACTGTGTTGCCCTAAAAACACATTCTCTGGATCATAATTTTTTTTGCAGAGGACAAGTAAAGAGCTTTGTTTTTGCAGCAGTGCAATTCTACACTCTTCACATGATTAACACTAAGCTCTCATCTCATAGATAAATTTTGATTTTGTTTATTCTTTGGAATCCTCAAAGAACTTTCTGGCTTTTTAAAAATATTTTTTTTTAGATGTCAATGGACCTTTATTTTATCCATTTATTTATATGTGGTGCTGAGGATTGAACCCAGTGCCTCACACATGCTAGGCAAGTGCTCTAACACTGAGCCACAACCTAGCCCCTGTTTGGGCTTTTTTAGAAGCACAAAATAATACATGGAAAAGTCCCAGTCAGAAGGGACATACATATAGCATCATGTTTCTAACATTAATAAATCACACAGCAAAGAAAGCAGTTAAGAATGTGAAAAGAATCTATAGAATAGGTGAAAATTTTTGCTAGCTACTCTTTTGACAGAGAATTAATATCCAGAAAATGTAATGAACTCAAAAGACTTAACACCAGTAAAACAAATAACCCAATCCATAATGGGCAAATGAACTAAACATATTTCTCAAAAGAAGAAATACAAATGGCCAACAAATATATTAAAAAGTATTCAACATCTTTAGCAATTAAGGAAATGTAAATCTAAAGTACACTGAGATTTCATCTCACTCAAGTTAGAATGGCAGCTATCGAGAATACAAGTAATAATAAATGCTGGAAAGGACAGGGGAAACAGGAACATTTTTACACTGTTAGTGGGACTGTAAATTAGTAAACCACTATGGAAATCAGTATGGAGTTTCCTCAAAAGACTAGGATTGGAACCACCATATGGCTCAGCGATATTACTTCTCTATCCTAAAGAATTAAAGGCATTTTCATGTCTGTAGCACTCAAATTATGGAACCAGCCTAGGTGTCTATCAGTGGATGAATGGATAAAAAAATGTGGTATATATACACAATTGAGTTTTATTCAGCCATAAAGAAGAAAGAAATCATGCCATCTTCAGGAAAATAGATAGACCTTGAGAGCATTATGTTAAGTAAAATAGGCCAACATTTGAAAGTCAAGGGTTATATGTTTCCTCTCATATGTGGAAGCTAGAGAGAAAAAAGGAAAAGAAAGGTGAGGAGGGATCTCATGAAAATGGAAGGGAGACCAGTAGAGTAGAGGAAAGGACTCAGGGGGAAGGAGAAGGAGAGGGAGAGGGAAAATACTGGGGAATGATATTGACCAAATTATATTGTTATAGCATGTACATGTATAAATATATCACAATGAATCCCACTATTATGTATAATTATAATGTGTCAATAAAAATATGGGAAAAAGTAAACTAAAAAACTTATTATTTAGTTAAGAAGTAGTTTGGCTTAGGCCTGATTGCATTGGGATATAATTTGAGGGTATGTAATGCAAAATAAATCCTTAAGCAAACATTCAAATATATACTTATTCGGTGCTGCCTATGAGCAAATTTCCATGCTGAAATGTTTTAGGGAAAAATGTATGCCATAGAAGCAATGGAACTCTTTCTGATTTTAAGGAACTCAGTTGAACATGGAAAAGATATATGAATAACTAACTTTCCTGATATTGAGGGATCAGACCTAAAAAAATAAAAGTATAAACCAAATGCTAAACCAGTATGGAGAATGTGAGATTAATTTAAATAAGATAATTTTGGGAGAACTCATGAAGATGATATTTAGGATGGGACTGGATGATTTGGTGCCAGCTTGAGGGGCACAAATGAAGGGAAAGGGAATTTAAGGCCAAAGATATTGTATGAGCAAAGTTCAAAGTATGATTTTTCTTGTTAGGAATGGCTAGTCACTCCACATGCCTGAATTATACTAGTTAACTTTAGTTGAGTGATTACTTTACACAGGGAAAATTCTTCCCACTTTATATGTATTATCTGATCTAATTTTCAACTAAAGTCAAGAGGGAGACACTATTATTAAGTCGATCGTGTACATAAGGAAACTGAGTCATAGAAAAGTTAAGGGATTTACTCAGGATCCCAGAGCTATATAGTAGTGGAGCCAGGATTGAAGTCTGCACCCATAACCACCCTACTTTACTATATACAGTACAGGGCAAGTTGCTTTATAACCAAAGAGTGGAGGGACTTCTGGGCCATCTTGAAGTGTTGTAATTTCTAACAACTACCAAGGGACGAGAAGGAATTTCTATTTTTTTTTTTTTAATTTTGAAAGGCAAAAAATAGTTAAAAACTTTCTCTATTATTAATGAACAATTGATTATCTTGAGCTACACTATTCAATAGAGTATCCCATAGCTACATGTAACTATTGAGCTTTCAAAATATTGCTAGTGCAAATTGAGGTGTGTTGTGTGTACTAGATTTTTAGAATTTCATATGACAAAAGTATGTGAGATATCTTATTTTTTAAAATTATTTTTAATTGTAGATGGACACAATACCTTTATTTATTTTTTTATGTGGTGCTGAGGATTGAACCCAGAGCCTCACTAATAAATAAATAAATATGTAAAATGGGGCTACTAGATAATTTAAATTTACCTGTATAACTTATATTATAATTCTAGTGGGCAATGTGGACCTAGAGCAATTTGAAACTTGTGGTGGATATTTTACTAACCAATTCTGATGAAGGACTTCCTCACACATTGTTTTTTTTTAACCATATTCTTTCCTTGCTTTTTGGTCATTTGCAAGAAAAATTTAAAAAGGCTTCCCCTTTGTAAGGTTTGAGAGGCCCTAGAATTTCCTTTTTCACTTGTTCCCAACCACAAACAAATGATCAATGTGCCCTGTGGATGAGGAGTCAACATTTTACAAGGGTAAAAAGGGGGGAATAAAAAAAAGGGCAAAAATAATTTCCAGTCCCTGAATGGCGTGAAGTAAGAGTGCTTTCAAAGGATCCCACAAGAATGGCACAGGTGGGCACAATGGGTCTGTCTCATCGTCAAAGGACCCAAGAAGTTGAAAGGAAACTCTAACTACAACACCAAAATGCCACAAACCATAGTTATTAATACAAACGAATAAGCATCCCTGCCTATCTGTCACCATCTCATCTTAAAAACTTGTGAAAATACGTAATCCTGATGAGACTTCAATTAGGTATAAATACCAGCAGTGAAAGGAGATGCAGTATATTGTTCTGATCATCTCAGATCAGCTATTAGGAAAGGAAGATCAGCCAAGTCCTTTGGACCTGATCAGATTAATACAGGAGCTACTGATTTCAACGTCTTTGGCCTAACTCTCTCTGAAATGATGAAATACACAAGTTATTTCTTGGCTTTTCAGCTCTGCATCATTTTGGGTTCTTCTAGCTGTTACTCCCAGGACACAGTTAATAAAGAAATAGAAGATTTAAAAGGATATTTTGTAAGTATGACCTTTCAATAATACTTGTTTGTGGTTGAAAATGACTGAATGTTTGACTAGTACTTGTGTCTGATAGACTGTGATCTCTAGTTCATAATCATTTTGAGAAGATGTGGTACTTTGTTAATTGTTGGAGGATGTTTCTTGACTAAATAATTTAGATTTTGCTTTAACCTCCTGCTCAATTTGCTATAGAGACTTAGAGGGGATACATGAACATGAGTCTTCCAAAAGATAGGTATAATATGAGTACTAAGCATATCTATATTGATAATTTTATGATGAGAATATTCTCAAGGATTTTGATTTTGTTTTGTGCTGGGGATTGAACCCAGGGCTTCGTGCATGCTAGGCAAGTGCTCTACCACAGAGCTACATCCCTGCCCACTAAGTTGTAATAAATCAAGCAATGTCCGTATCAAAAAATGATTGGCTATTAGTTTCTGATTTCTCAAACTATTATGAGGATGACAGTAAAAGGTCAAAGTTAGTATTAAAAGTAGTAATAGAAAGCTATTAGTTAAAATTAAAGAAGGTGAAGTTCTTAAAAATTTGGCTTAAAATGTCACTTATAGAGGTTTTCTTTTTCCAAAAAGTGATTTCTGAATTCTGTCACTCCACTTAACTTATGAATTATTCCTTCAGTCAGTAACTAACTGAGACTTTGTTGAAGTTACTATTCTGGCTTAGGAGTTTTTAAATTTTTTGGTTTATGAAAATTTAAATTCTTATTTATGATTAGTAAAAATTTTTTTGGCATTTTAAATAATTTATTATTTCTCCCCAAATTAGCTATTGTAATTATTGTTATTACAATGCTCAGACATTCACAAATATTTTATTCTTGCAATGTAAATAAGATCTCTCTGTCTCTCTGTCTCTCACACAAACATATATTTACAGAGGTTTTAAAGCTGACATAATAAAACTGTATAGGAGGGCACAGGTAGATGTTATAGACAACTATACCAGAGGGGGGCAGTATACTATAGTGTGACAACTGCAGATTTTTATTTTTATTTATTTATTTTTTAACTAGGCTTGAAAATACTTTTAGGACAATATATGGACTAATTATCAATCAATTTTCCTCTCTTTTCTCAGAATGCAAGTAATTCAAATGTATCAGATGGCGGGTCTCTCTTCTTGGATATTTTGGATAAATGGAAAGAGGTAAACTGAACATTACGATTTGGATGATTTTTCAGTTATTTATTTTCTGATGGATAAACTAACATCATCTTTGTGCTCTTTTCTCCCAAGGAGAGTGACAAAAAAGTAATCCAGAGCCAAATTGTCTCTTTCTACTTCAAACTCTTTGAACACTTAAAAGACAACAAGATCATCCAAAGGAGCATGGACACCATCAAGGGGGATCTTTTTGCTAAGTTCTTCAACAGCAGTACCAATAAGCTGCAGGACTTCCTAAAGGTGTCTCAAGTTCAGGTGAGATGATTTCAATTCTTTATTTCATTGCAGGGCTTTTGCAGAGTGTTTAATTCTCAGAAAGTAGAAATTAGCTACTTAACAGTTGGCTATATCTATGATTTAAACCTCTGGCTGAAACTCCTCCTTACTAATTCAACGCATCCTTTGGGTAACTGTAAAATCAGTATGGGAATCATTTAAATGTGTCATTTGGAGAAACACAGGCAATAAAACTATTACACAAGGACAGGTGAACAGATAAATCCAGAGAGCCGGAAGTAGGTGAAGACACAGAGAGGAGCATGGAGAAGCAGGTCTCTCTTTGCACCTTGTTTATGCGATGGAAATTCTCTTACTTTGGATGGGAGGCTGTTTGTCTTAGTGGAAAGACACGTGGGAGGGAGTGAGAAGATATCTGTTCTCCTTCCAACTTGGCCACCAAGAAACTGTGACCTCAGATGAATCACATGCCTGGCTGGTGCTCCATTTCCCCATATTGAGAGGAACCTGCTGGGTTCACTACAAAAGTTCTATGGTTTCCTTTGCTCTACAATTCTACAATGTTGTGGGTAGAAAATGAGAATGAGAGAGGAGAGAGATATAGCTTTTGAGGAGACACCATGTGACTGCAGTCTCTGCAGTCTCTGGTCAACATCTCAAGATTATGCAGCCTAACTAGAAGTGAGACTATTCGCTGCTTGTTTTTAGTGGGGGAAAAGGGATAGAGTTTACACCTTCTGAAAGGATTGTTTGATTAACTTTCATATACTAAAATATCTCAGCTGGAGAAATTCTTAGGCTCTGAAGTGTTATCTATGAGGTTGTCTTGGATCTTTAAATTATGGTAATTTTAAGGCAAAAAGACAACTTTAAAGCATAAAGACAATCATGTTTCCCCAAATTTTATCTAGAAGACAAAGAGGTCAGGATCCTTTGGTTTTGGCTTTAATATCAATTGTCTTGAGTGAGTGGGACTGAAGTCTTACTATGAGTTCTGCTCTTAGGATTTGTGCCCAGTTTTCACAGTGCTTGGGTCTGCCTCTCACTCAATTCATGTAGCTCCCAGTAACCGGAAGGAGAGATGGAACCAATTTTCTTTGGGCCATAGACTAGAGATTGAGGAAGCACTTGTTCCTAACCCAGTGCCATCCTGGCTTGTTTAATCTTGAATCTAAGTCTCTTAGATTCTTGGTGATAGCTTGAAAGCTGAAAACTTTTGAATTTTTATTTTTTGCCACTATAATGCACAGGTGGTAGAATTTTTTTTTTCTACTCTTGTAACTGGTCCTTGAGAAAGTGAGAAAAATGTCTGGGTTTCATCTTTCTAGGCTCTTCAAACCTCCTGATTCATGATGGGCAATACTGAGTGAAATCTTAACCTCTGTCCTCTTGTTCAATTGTGAACATATTTTAGGCATGTTATGTCCTTTAATAATTAATCTGGAGTCTAGAAACCCCCTAGTCACTCTTGAGAATAGTGTTTCCAGCATTAGAAAGAAACAGAGTGACACAGAAAAGATGAAAATAAATGGTCCTCATTTTATTAATTATAAAATCGTCCACATGGCTCTATTGGTTAGATTGAAGAAAATCAAATAGTGCAATCTGCTGGTGTAGAAGTCAGGGTATAGCAAAAGTTGTTGCAAATCCTAATTTCAAATGTTCTATATCAGCAAGTCATTTATTATCATATGAGCATGAGTGGTGTTTATTTTTAATCTCATTCTAAATTTAAAATTATAGTTTTCATCTGTTTTGAACTTGGTGTTTTACAAAGGACTTAACCTATATCAGTGGCTCTCACACTGTGGTTGGTTTCAGAATAACCTGGGGAATCAGTGACTACACAAGAGCAAGTCTCTGAGCCTAGTTTCTGAGTTCTTTATTAGGTCTCCAGGTCAGCCTGCTATACACCCAGGGTGAGAGGCTGTGTCTTATAGGAACTCATCTGATATGTACAGCAAAGACTGATCAAAGTGTGAGGTGACAGAATTGGTAGACTAAAGGTCAGCTCAACAATCTCTGCTGGTTAGATGAGGAAACAGAGGTTTAAAGAGGTTAAGAAACTGGCTCAAAGTTAGAGATACTACAGATGCAGGATTTAATACCTCCTTTTCTTTTTAAGTACTCCAGGTCTCTTTTCACTAAATAATTTTGAGAATTCTGTAGCAGTAAAGTTAGAGATATATGATGTAACCCATAATAATTTTGCACAACTATCAATTCAGTTTTCTTTTAGCCTTAATGGTGGAAGAAGTTAATAATGTAGATTAAGATACTATATTGTTATTCAGAATCACCTTTTTAAAGATGAATAATTTCATTTTCACTATGATGTTAAAAGGAGAAAAACCTGATGGCTTTTATGCCTGAAATTAATTTTGCTGTTTTCTTTCCCATTAGGTAAATGACCTGAAGATCCAGCGTAAAGCAGTGAGTGAACTCAAGAAAGTGATGAATGATCTGTTACCACACTCTACCCTAAGGAAGCGAAAAAGGAGTCAGTCTTCGATTCGGGGTCGGAGAGCATCCAAATAACAGTCCTCATGCCTGCAATATTTGAATTTTTAAATTGAAATCTATTTATTAATATTTAACATTATTTATATGGAAAATATATTTTTAGTTTCATCAAATAAGTATTTATAGTAGCAACTTATGTAATGAAAGAATATCTATGTATTATTAATTATATGTATTATTTATAATTCCTGTATCCTGTAACTGTCTCACTTTACCCTTTATTTTTTTTTTTTTGAAAAATTAGGCAAGAATATGTGATTAAAAGACTTTATCTCAGGGACTAACTAAACAGCTGACCTAAGTTAGACCCTGTGGGTTGTGCATTTATTTAGACAAAGAACACTTATAAACGAAATAGTACCATCTAGTTGTTGCCTATTTGAGAACATGTCTGCATTCTGAGCCACTGCTTTAATGACACATCAGACAGCACTTGAATGTGTCAGGTGATATGACCTGTGCCCTGATAAACTCAGCACCTCAGGAGATTTCACACTTGGTGCTTCTGAATATTGTTGACAACTGTGACTGCACCCAAATGGAAAGTAACTCACTTGTTCAGTTTATCCCAATCTAATATATCTGAATAAAGCATAATTTCGCAACTATTCATGCTGTATTAGACTTATTTCTAAGTGAGGACTGGGGTGGTTGAACTGCTTACTAGGTAACTAGAAGGGAGAAAGTCCTTTTTAGCTGTGAAAATCTTAGAGTACCATTGGGCCCCATCAAATGTGGTATTTCTCTCCATTGAAAACTTGGTTGATTTTCATTGTTCCACTTTTTTGAATGATCTTCGCAAGATATAGGTTTAAGTTTGTCACCATTCAATTTAGTTTCTGCTATGGAAAGAATCTGCTCAGTGTGGTACACAGAGATTTATTCTATTCCATCTTCCACCTCCTCCCCTTTTCCTCATATTGGTATCCCCTCCCCCATCTACCATAGGCAAATACTGTTGGGTGTGGAACAGTGAGTGTTAGTTCTAAGGAGAGAGATCTAGATTAGAATTTGGGTTATGTCATTGCAAGTAGCATGACCTTTCATGAATTATGTAAACTTCAGCTTCTTTGTCTGAAAAAGAGAAATAATTGTGTCTTCTTCCTAATATCATAGCTGAGAGTTCATTGTATCACTACAAAGTATTTACTGGGGCACACACTATGTGCCTAGGTGCTTTATATACCTTAGTCAACAAAACTAGACAAGAATCTCTGCTCTTGTGGAATTTGGAATTGAGCAAAAGGGAGATGGACAATAAACAAAATACATACTATGTAAGTAAATTGCATGATATGTTAGAAAATGATTGATGCCATGGGATAAAAATACAAATAGAACAGGATGGGGAATTAGGAATAATGTAAGTTGGGTGGGTGAGTGGTCAAGAGGCTTGAATAGACTGATTATAGTTGATCTCATGAAGAGAAAACATTTGAGGAAGCATCTTTAAGGGAACATCCCACTTGCATTCCAGGCAAGAGGAATATTCTTGCGAAGACTATGAAGTAGAAAATTATCTGGTGGTAAAAGAAAAACCAGCAGACCAGTGTGGTGGTCCCAAAACATGGAAGAGAAAAATAGCCATCACTCAAGGAAGATGCAGGGGAAGGAAGCAGTGTCCTTAGTGGAGAGCCTCTCTAACTTGTGTAGGAGGAAGTTGCAGATATGATGAATTTGCTTAGTTTTCAACTATGAATTTCAGATGACCCAGTAAGTTGATGTATAATAGGTCATAAAAGGAAATGTACATGGGAGTGTGTTGTGAGTTTGGACTTCTGACGAAAACTGACATAAACAAGGAAAATAGATATAATAAAATGATTTTTGGTGGCTTTGGGACATAGTGGTGACAAATTGAGAAAAGTTAGGTATCTGGAGCTTCTTCTCAACAACTTCACTTAACCCTCCCACAATAGCGGGATTAAGTGAAATAGTTCATGTGAAGCAATAATTTTAGTATTTGACAATAATCAGTGTTATATTGATTACTGGATAACTAACTGTTCATGAGAGTGGATTCCAAAGCTTTTAAGTCTTTGAAGAGGCAAGATAAAAAACTTTAGGTTAATTTTGGCATAACTTTAATTGACATGAGATGATGCTGGGGTCTCTCCTCTTATTAGTGTAAGATTGATTGATGCAGACTTTAAGATACGTATAGATGGAGAGCTGCTGTGAGATTGTCTCGTCTGGACTATAGAACCAGATCATACCTCTGGGGAAGGGAATTAGAAATTCTTGCTCTCAATCATTTTGGGAAGAAATTAATGATGCAGTAGAAAATGGAATACCAGAAGGCATTAATTTAGGGCTAGGTAAAATTTCTCCTTCTTCCTGCAGTTGGTATCAGTTTGACCCAGACTCTGAGACATGAAGAGATATAAATTGTTTTCTGTGGTGTCAATGGTTGCAGAGAGTAAGACAGGGAGCAGTTTCTTTAGGAGAACTTGAATTGAGACTGGCCTATGAAAGAGTTACAAAATATTCTCTATATTATATGTGCTTTTTAAATGTACACACCTAGTCTCAGAAGTGTTGTGGATGTTTACAGGAAGAATAGACTGTGATTTAAACTAAGATTTAGACAGGAAGAAGAGACTGTGATTTAGACTATGATTTAGATTTTGACACCAATTATTGTCAAGGACTAAAATTTAGACTAAGGGATCTTGGGCATGGCAGTGGTTCTTCTCCCAGTGCCAGCAGAGGCAAGTCTTTCCTTAGTCTCAAGAACATTAGAGGCAGCAGCTAAGGCCTGGATTAGGAGAACTGTACTGTTTAAAGTCCCATCCTAATGACTCTCATAGATAGCAGACATGCCCTTGCTAGTGGGGTGGTTTTTGGTGATTAGATGACTGAAATTTGAGTATTAAATATCAATGGATTTCCCTCTTTTTTCTCCCTCTTTTCTTCACTTTTCCTTTCCCATAACTTCCCATTCTGAATAATATAATTCAGATTAAATTAGGTGCATCAGAGTAAGGTAGGCATCTACAGTTGAGCAGTGTTAGGAGTCAAATTCTGAGTGCAGTATGAAAGGTGGACATGCCGGGCAAAACCTAGTGTGGAAGCTGTTAGAGCCTGAGCACAAGGAGAGTGTTCAAGAAGGGCTGGGAGAGCATATTAGTTTTCCACTGTGTTTGTAGTAAGTGACCACAACTTAGTTGCTTAAAACAACTTACATTTGTTATCTGATAGTTTTGGATGTCAAAAGTCCAAAACCAGACTCAGTGGGTTAAAATCAAGACATTGGCAGAGTTACATTCTTTCTGGGGCTCTGGGGAGAATCTGTCTCCTCGCCTTTTCCAGGGTTTGGAGGCCGTGCCCATTCCTGCTCTTTCTTCAAAGCCAGCAGTGTAGCACCTTCCAATCTCTCTTCCTCTCTTTCTCTCTGGCTCTGATATTCCTGCTTCCCTCTTATAAGGACCCTTGTAATTATATTGAGACCACTTGAATAATTTAGGATAATATCTATCTCCATTTCAAGGTTTTTAACTAAATTACACCTGAAAAGTTCCCTTTTCCACATAAAGATATATTCACAGATTCTGAAAATTAGGATGTAGATATCTTTAGCTAGTCATTACTCTATTTATCATAAAGAGGCAACCTGACAAGAGTAGTCAGCACTTGAGCCAAACGAGGTTGCCACACTGAAGAACAGCCTGGAGTGGGTGTTATAATGGAGATATGCCAAAAGATGTTCCTATTGGCTAAACATGGAAAAATGTATGCATCAGAGTAAATAATGATAGCAACACTATTATAACCTGTTGAATATGAAAGGAAACCCAAAGTATATAATAAACTAAAAGTTGGATGAAGAATGGGATATTTACATAGCTTTGCTTTCTCACTATACTTACTAATCTCAAATTGGAAAAGAGTAACTTTATAGTGGAGAAGCCTTGCAGACAACATCATCTTAATCAACGAGTAAAAGTGAACACTGTTAGTAATGGGGTAAATGAAAATGATGTGCTACTTGGTAGGATGCCATGACATGAACATAACTCACTCTCTGTGACATCCCTGTGAAAGATGTAGAAACTTTTAATTGTGAGAAAACATGAGGAACACACTACAAAGTGGTCTGTAGCTTTCAGAGTATCAACATCATGCAAGTTAAGGAAAGAATGAGGAATGAGGAACAGCTGCTACGGAAGTGGATTATAGACATAGAACAATTACATGCAATATAAGTTTCTGAAGTTCATTCTTTTGCAATTAGAGGCATTTTTAGAACACTTGGTTCACTTAAATATGTCTGAAGATGATATAGGAGTAAAATATCAATGTAAACATCTTGATTTGGACTATGTGGGTCCAAATGGCTATGTGGGAGATAGCTCTGCAGGTAGGAAATGCTCATGGACACATTCAGTGAGATGTGGCATCAAGGCAGCACTTACTCTGAGGTAGTTGAGGAGACATAAAGATTTTCCAACTCTCCTGTAAATCTGTGATTGTTTCAAAATAAAAATATGCAGAAGTCACCATGAAATTATTTCATAGTTGCAGGCTGCTAAGGTCTAAAATTCTTGAGATTCATTATTTTCATTGCAATCACAACAGTTGATTTAGAATTTCCCAATAGGGTAGGTTAAATTTTCTAAAGTTGACCACACATATTTATTCACCTTATTCCTATGCTTTCTGTACAATATAACTGACACCTGACAGGTAGGGGATATCCTTCTCTTTAATAGTAGAGTGGAGTGGTTGGAAGTGAAACTGTTCCACTTCTAAGTCAACAATGCAGCTTCTGCCTGGTTTTCTTTTACTCCCCCCCCCCGACCCAACATTATTGTACTTCTGATTCTGTCATTATATTGGGAGGTTCATACTGTACGGGGAAGCCACATGTGGATAGTTTAGCCAACAGTCTCAGAGAGGCTTCCAGCCAACCTAGCCTCAATCATCATATTGATATGCATGAATTCCCCTTCAGATGATACTGGCTCCAAGCAATTTTCTACCTATTGCCTCAGTCATCCAAGTTTCTTATGATTAAAAAAAAACGTCAGACTAATTTCAGCTCTAATATATACAGTATAGAAGTTGTTACTTCAATATATTCTTAAGACAAGAATAGATTGGAAAAAATGAAAAACAATGATGTTTCTTAGTTCTTAGTTCAGAGAACTGAGTTCGTAACCAAGATCTGTCCACTTGGGCCAGAAACCAAGGGAATCACTAACTGATAAGAATACTAAAATGTTAATTTTGATGAATTCCTGGAGGCTTAGTGTGGACTAGCTTTGGAGTGAGAAACTCTTAGGGGCTGACATATCAGCAGTCCCCACCCTATCATGGGCTTTATCAACAAAAGCCTCACCAGATCCTAATAGTAAAGATCTGAGACAGAATTCTCTGTGGTTCTGGCAAGGGGAAGAGAAGAAAAATCCTTGTGAAGCATGCCCAGAAAAGGAGTTTACTCTCTGGGGAAAAAGACTTCATCAGAATATTGAACAAGGGCCATGGGAAAGGATCTTCTTCTAACTTCAGCCCCATCCAGTCTTTCCTGTGTCATATAAAGTTATGCAAGAAGAAATGCTTGTGAAGATTACAGCCCTGAGACACAGGCCATCAAAACAGTAAGATTTAATGGAAAGACTAAAGAGCCCTCTCCTTCCACATACCTCACCACACACCCACCCTAGGGCTTTGGTTATTTACAGTACATGACAGGT